ACACTCGACACTCGACACTAGACACTCGACACTCGACACTCGACACTCGACACTCGACACTCGACACTCGACACTCGACACTCGACACTCAGACACTAAACACTAGACACTAGATACTAGACACTCAGACACTAGACACTCGGATACAAGACACTCAGACACTAGATTCTCAGACACTTGACACTCAGACACCCAGATACTAGACACTCTGATACTCGACACTCGACACTCAGACACTAAACACCAGACACTAGACACTCAGACACTCGACACTCGACGACACTCGACACTCGACACTCGACACTCAGACACTAAACACTAGACACTAGACACTAGACACTAGACACTCAGACACTCGACACTCAGACACTAGACACTCGACACTCGACACTCGACACTCAGATACTAAACACTAGACACTAGACACTCGGATACAAGACACTCAGATACTAGACTCTCAGACACTTGACACTCAGACACCCAGACACTAGACACTCAGACACTAGACACTCGAAACTCGACACTCGACACTCGACACTCGACACTAAACACTAGACACTCGACACTCGACACTCGACACTCGACACTTAGACACTAGACACTCAGACACTCAGACACTCAGACACCCAGACACTAGACATTCAGACACTAGACACTCGGATACAAGACACTCAGACACTAGACTCTCAGACACCTGACACTCAGACACCCAGACGTTAGACACTCAGACACTAGACACTCGACACTCGACACTCGACACTCGACACTCGACACTTAGACACTAGACACTCAGACACCCAGACACTAGACACTCAGACACTAGACACTCGGATACAAGACACTCAGACACTAGACTCTCAGACACTTGACACTCAGACACCCAGACACTAGACACTCTGACACTAGACACTCGACACTCGACACTCGACACTTGACACTCAGACACTAAACACTAGACACTAGACACTCAGACACTCGACACTCAGACACTCGACACTCAGACACTAGACACTCGACACTCAGATACTAAACACTAGACACTCAGACACCCAGACACTAGACACTCAGACACTAGACACTCGGATACAAGACACTCGACACTCGACACTCGACACTCGACACTCGACACTCGACACTCGACACTCGACACTCAGACACTAAACACTAGACACTAGACACTCAGACACTCAGACACTCGACACTCAGACACTAGACACTCGACACTCGACACTTGACAGTCGATACTCGACACTCGACACTCGACACTCGACACTCGACACTCGACACTCGACACTCAGACACTCGACACTAGACACCGTTCCAATATGGCGGACTAGGTACATATTTTTCCACAACCACCACAATATGGGTATCAAATAATAGGACTACACTGAGACACGCAGACACTAGACATTTGGACACTAGACACTCAGACACTCAGACACCCAGACACTAGACACTCAGACACTAGACACTCGGATACAAGACACTCAGACACTAGACTCTCAGACACTTGACACTCAGACACCCAGACACTAGACACTCTGACACTAGACACTCGACACTCGACACTCGACACTCAGACACTAGACACTAGACACTCGACACTAGACAATCGACACTCGACACTCGACACTCGACACTCAGACACTAAACACTAGACACTAGACACTCAGACACTCGACACTCAGACACTCGACACTCAGACACTAGACACTCAGATACTAAACACTAGACACTAGACACTCAGACACTAGACACTCGGATACAAGACACTCGACACTCGACACTTGACAGTCGATACTCGACACTCGACACTCGACACTCGACACTCGACACTCGACACTCGACACTCGACACTCGACACTCGACACTCGACACTCAGACACTCGACACTAGACACCGTTCCAATATGGCGGACTAGGTACATATTTTTCCACAACCACCACAATATGGGTATCAAATAATAGGACTACACTGAGACACCCAGACACTAGACACTCGGACACTAGACACTCAGACGCTAGACCCTCAGACACTAGACACTCAGACACCCAGACCCTAGACACACAGACACTAGACACTCGGATACAAGACACTCAGACACTAGACACTCGGACACTAGACACTCAGACACTAGACACTCGACACTCGACACTCGACACTCGACACTCAGACACTAAACACCAGACACTAAACACTCAGACACTCGACACTCAGACACTAGACACTAGATACTCGACACTAGACACTCGACACTCGACACTCGACACTCGACACTCGACACTCGACACTCGACACTCGACACTCGACACTCGACACTCGACACACGACACTCGACACACAGACACTAAACACTAGACACTAGACACTAGACACTAGACACTCAGACACTCGACACTCAGACACTAGACACTCGACACTTGACAGTCGATACTCGACACTCGACACTCGACACTCGACACTCGACACTCGACACTCAGACACTAAACACTAGACACTAGACACTCGACACTCAGATGCTAAACACTAGACACTAGACACTCCGACACTCGGATACAAGACACTCAGACACTAGACTCTCAGACACTTGACACTCAGACACCCAGACACTAGACACTCAGACACTAGACACTCGAAACTCGACACTCGACACTTGACAGTCGATACTCGACACTCGACACTCGACACTCGACACTCGACACTCGACACTCGACACTCAGACACTCGACACTAGACACTCAGACACTAGACACTAGACACTCGACACTCGACACTCAGACACTAGACACTCGTCACTCGACACTCAGACACTAAACACTAGACACTAGACACTCAGACACTCGACACTCAGACACTAGACACTCGACACTCGACACTCGACACTCAGACACTAAACACTAGACACTAGACACCAGACACTCAGACACTCGACACTCAGACACTAGACACTCGACACTCGACACTCGACACTCAGATACTAAACACTAGACACTAGACACTCAGACACTGGACACTCGGATACAAGACACTCAGACACTAGACTCTCAGACACTTGACGCTCAGACACCTTTTTGGCCTCAGTTCCGTCGAACCCAAATGTACGAAACAGATATATCATCAGTTTTAATTGACTTTGGCACAGACGGCATGCACGTTATTTACCCTAAAGCCATACAGTTTCCAGCAAAATTCAATTATGGTACGGCTGAAAAAAGGATGTTGCCCTTAGTTTTGTCATGAGCATTCACCGTCCATAAAATGCAGGGCAGCTCCGTCGACCATGCAGTAGTATATTTGGGCTCAAAATGGTTTGAGGAAGGACAAGCATACGTGGCTCTAAGTCGAGTCAAGTCTCTGGAAGGGCTATGTATTGAGGAATTAGATTGTACTAAATTATCAGGTAAGAAACCATGTAATAATGATGCACTGAATGAATTAAATAAAATGAGGAATATTCGGTAAACAATTTCACTAAATACTAAAAACAAGAAAATAAAAATCGGTAAAAAAACTTTTAAGTTAAACGGTTTTATTTTATGTGCACTGAAAACTACAAAATAAATAAATAGTTACTTACCTATCAACCTACGTAGGTGATCTCGGTCATTAATATCTCTGATGGTAGTGGTTGTCATAACATGAACCATGTCAGCGGCCGAAAGGCAGTTCATGAGAGAACACTAACACCAGGGTTTGCTTGGTAGGTAAACTAAGCAGCCCGCACTATAACAAGTAGGTATTTTGACCTTCTAGTTCAGAAATATTTTAGTACTAGGCAGAATAGCTTTTAGGCATATTAGACTAAAATAAAAACGTGGGGCCCCTCTGAAATCATACCTATAGCAGAGCATATCTTATACTTTGATAGATCATGAGCTCGGCGTTCGCTGGTGAAGCCGTAACGGCTGGTTATTGATGGTCAAAACCTCCAGTTACGATTATAGTAAGTCGATTCAGCGGACTCTGGACTCCGGAGCTATGAGGTTTCGGATGCGACCGGGATAAACCGCTAGGATGATGATGATGACGATTATAATAAGTCGATGCAATCCACACTTAGTATAGTAGAAAGTAATACAGAAATAGTTAATGGGCCCCACGTTTTTATTTTAGTCTAATATGCCTAAAAGCTATTCTGCCTAGTACTAAAATATTTCTGAACTAGAAGGTCAAAATACCTACTTGTTATAGTGCGGGCTGCTTAGTTTACCTACCAAGCAAACCCTGGTGTTAGTGTTCTCTCATGAACTGCCTTTCGGCCGCTGACATGGTTCATGTTATGACAACCACTACCATCAGAGATATTAATGACCGAGATCACCTACGTAGGTTGATAGGTAAGTAACTATTTATTTATTTTGTAGTTTTCAGTGCACATAAAATAAAACCGTTTAACTTAAAAGTTTTTTTTACCGATTTTTATTTTTTTAAATTAAATACAATTCATATCATTCGATGACAGCGTAGTTTCTATAGATTTGAAAGAATTTAAAATTTGGTTATATATTTTTGAGTTTATCGCTTCATTTCTTTTATTTTATAAAAATTTACTTTGTGTCGAAAACATAATGCGGACTTACATATTAGTGCAGGTTCGAAAATAAGCAACAATAGCTTTGGCCCCCGGCTTCGTTCGCTTCCATACAAACTTTCATCCTGTACTTCTTACTAGCCTATGTTACTCAGGGATAATGTAGCATTCTAACATCGAAAGATTTTTTAAATTGATCCAGTAGATAGACAGCTACTCTTTATTGTTCCCTCCATAAGATTACAATAGTAAACTTATTATAGATACAAACAATTACAAGAAATAATCACAGTGAGACAACAATGAGCGGCCTTATCGCTAAGAGCGATCTCTTGCAGGCAACCTTTGGATGGAGAGGAGTAATTAAAAACAGTTTGGCTAGTAGTTTAACTTTATTCATTTCAAACATACAATAATATAATTCTTTCCTCTGTGTTGTGCTCCAGCTTATAGACACGAACGCGGACGGCGTGGTGACCCCCGACGAGCTGGCCAGCTGGTGCAGCCGCGACCCCGCCCTGCTGAGCTCCCTCGACACGCTCGACACCGTGTTGTGATCCGCGCCCGCGCCCGAGCACTCCTCCGGCGCATACAATAGGTGACTAGCTCCTAACAGAGATATTTGGGGGGGGGGGGAGGATTGTTAGTAACGCTCCCTGATCCCATTGCTAGCAATATATCCTATATATCAGGTGGGCCGTCAGCTTGACCAGCCCATTGATACTTCAGCTTGCTTATCCTTCGGGCTGTGTCGGTCACTTTGGTTCTTTTGCGGATATCGTCATTTCGGATTCTATCACGCAAGGAGACTCCGAACATAGCCCTCTCCGTAGTCCGCTGAGTAACTTGTAGTTTTTGCATACGGCAAATCGTATAGGTCCAACTAACGATATAATCGTATATACTTCAAACGTACAGACGAATTGAGATCCTGTTCCGTTTTCAAAGTCTTTTAAAAAAGTTAAAAAGTTTTGGAAAAAACTTTTCAGGTCGGACTCGGCGCATGCGTCCTGCTCCACAGCGGCTGATAACTGCGACTCGCCGCCGGCGGGTCCTCCTCCCCATCTGCCAGTTACCTCTCCTCCTATCTCTCCTCCTGTACAAGTTTTAAAGGAGACCGGGAAGCAGAGGCGAGCTTCGCAACCGCCGCCAGTCCCGGCGAGAGCAACGGCTACAGTTAATGTGAGTCTTATTATTGTAATATAAAAAAAAAAAATTACCTACATCACCATGAATATAATACCTTAGAGAGATTTACCCAGTGTTGCCATTATGGTGAACTTAACGCTCAAAATGTTTATATTTTGCTGAAGGTATTAGAATCCAACGTGGCTGAGACTAGGTTTAGATGCATCACTTGGATTTATTTCTACTATCTTCTACCACTTTCTACCATCGTACGGCCCGCTATCGACAGGGAGTTCCTCATGTCCTACAGCCTCAATGGTCGCGTGCTACGCGGTTTCAGAGAGGTTTCCTCTCATGAGAATGAGCTCCCTGCCGAGGTTTTCCCAAGAGACTACAGTATGGGGTTCTTCAAAAGGAGGGTAAAGAGGTTAGTTCAGGGTCGGCAACACACGCGTGATACCTCTGGTATTGCAGGTGTTCATAGGCTACATATAGCATTAGTGAGAAATGATAGGTAAGTTAGCCCATAGTGACTAATTTAAGAATTAACCACGATAGGATCCAGGGGGAACCGCATGGAAGTCGACCTAATAGGTATATTGCTAGCAATGGCGCTGTTAGACCCCATTACTGACAATCCTTTCACTTCGTCTCTGATCTCAGCGGTTTCTGCGCATCTCAGAATTGTCTGGTGCCCACTCCAGAATCAGAAATAAAATTTTTAGCTATAGGCAAAGACTAAGAATAGAGTGTCTTTTTTAAGGGATTTAGCCCCCTGGAAATTAATCTTAAACATGCTACTACCCCTATAACCCGCTTTTTACTATGTTTATTTAATATATATGTATTAGTTACGCTGTAAAAGTGGTGTGTAGTGATTTATTGTATATGTAATTGAAAATTAAATATATAATGCACCTGTATAAAATGGCCAATGGATAAATCCAATAATTAATATTTGCATGCCATTTGATGTGGCGAAACATAATGGACATCTTATAAACTTCACAAATGCAACACCTTTTCTACAATGTTTCTAGCAAATAAATTTCCTTTCATTTCATTTCATTTCATTTCATTTCATTTCATTTCATTTCCAATCAATAATATGTATTATTTTACATAAAAACTCCAGGTAACAGAAGAAACAGCATCGCGTAAGGCTAAACGGCGAGTCCGCCGCATGTCCTCTCCACAACAGCCGCGGTGAAAACCTAACCTTATTGTCTAGTAGATAAGTACGAAAATTCAATATCAAGGTACAACCTGCAAGGGGAATTCTACTTAATTGCGTGTATTTAAGAAAGAGATTTCAACTTCAGTGCTTTATGTGAGCTACTTTATACTACGAGTACATAATGCCTTTCAATGACTTTAAGAAATAATTACTTTTAAGGAAATCAGTGTGCTGAATGTATGTGACATTGAAAACAAACAGAAGGGAATGCATTAACAATTTGTTAAAGCATAAGCTGCAAATATGCCACAAAATGTTTTATTACTCACCCGTATAATTAGGCGTTTTCTTCAAGCTGTTGAACTACAGTTGGGCTATTTATTCATTAACAACAATCGACATCATCCATCACGCAGAGGTCGTTCACACGTCATCGTGAGAACACCAATTATGTGGCAGAAGACACTTACGCGATCTTTCAATTTTGATTTTTAACTAACTTGCCAATAAGCTGCGTTATGCGTCATATTTTAACTTTTTATTAAATTCGAAATCGTTTATTTTCAAAAATTTCTATTAAGTTATTGTTTCGAAAACCTAGGTGCATTTATTTATTTATTTAAAATCATTTAAAATAAATGCAAAATGCACATCATTAACAAAATTTAAAGACAATTCACGTGAACAATTCCAAGGGATAAAATGTAATATTCGATTTTCATTATTTTACATCGTATTCACATACATTCTGCATATTATCAGAGACGAGCACGTTCAATTACATTGGTGTCGTCTATATATACAAATTTCGAACGAGTCTTGAATATTATAATAAACAATTATAAATTAAATTAAATAAGTAAGTACGAATCGATTTAAAAATCCAAATGCTTTACTAAATTACCACAAATATAATATTATTATGTGGTCTAGGTATTACAACAGTGGTAATGAACGTGGTACTGTATATGACGATAATCTTTGACAAGATCCATTGAAAATTGTGGCATAATTATAATAGTATTATTATTTAATAGTAGTTGTTATAAGGAATTACTTATTTCAATGAATGTACACGTATCTGAGAAAACGATAAGCAATACTTCAGTATTAAGAATTTTTCATGTACTTATTTGAACAATCTTTAGAGACGCTAGGACCTTGTCACCGTCAATTGGATCTTTCGATTGCTTCGTAGCTTTAATACTTCTAAATACATTTCATGTGACAGGGAACCTAGAATGATATGCGCATGCATGCTTAAGATGCGAAGCAGATGTTTCATGTCGGACCTAGTCATTGTACAGTATATCAAAAAAAGAATTACAAAAAAGCTACAAAAATTATATTTACGTTTGATTCTGTGTTACAAGTGTTAAATTCTGAATTATTTTTAAATGAATATAAATCAAAATTGATAAATAAATTAGCATAAGAAAAAATTTATTAAATTCCAATTAATTCCTTTAGCTTTTTTCCTGTATAGTGTACACTGACTAGATCTTATAATCTAGACATTTCTCTCCTTTAGAGTAAACTTCAATTGTTGCTTCCTTCAAAATCTATCGATTAGTTTTAAGACACTTTGATAAATCTAATGTAGAATAAGTACAACTTAAAGAGGCCAATTTAAAAGTGCTATCTACACATGTTGGAGAATGCAAATATTTTAAAAAACAGCACAATATTTTTAAAATATATATATATAAAAAAAGAAACATATCTGCACCTGAACATAAGATTGATATTTCACATGCGTTGAAACACGTATATTAAATTATTTATCATTATATATTTCGTTCAATACAAAATATATCACCATCATCATTATATCAGACTTTAACTATCCACTGCTGAACATAAGCCTTCCTCTTGGGGTTTTGCCAATAGTCGCCACGCTTGGCATGTGGATTAGCAACCGCAGTTAAGTTTTAGAGATGTTTTAAGAGGAACACTGCTTCCCATCTCTCGTTCTCCCTTAGTCGCCTCTTACGACACCTACGGGAAAGGTAGAGGTGGCTTTTACTATGCCGGGACCATTTTTGTTGTGAAATTGAACCATGTTATGAAACTGAAACCGTTTGCTTTTTGAAAAAGTGACAAAAGAAAGTCGATTGCTTGGGTACCTCTGTCCATTTCGTATAGGCGACGGTTACCACTTACGATCAGGTGGACCGTCAGCTTGTTTGCGATTCTAAATTGTACACAACACTGGTGTTGTGCCGGGGGTCTTCTAGTAATCTGTCCGGTATTAGAGTGCATGGGTACCTTTCTCTTTTCTTCATAAATCTTTTGTTCCTCTTTTATCAGCTTCTTTTACTCACTTCCGGTATCCTACTTCTTTTTCCTCAACCAAATGATTAGGGTAATGACATGAAGATGATGACGCTACCGTGCGTCGAGCGATCAATTTAAAAATGTTATAAATGTTCAGTTTATTGGATGAATACTCCTTTCGCTGGATGCTAATATTTTTACCCTATATAAAAATACAGTTTAAATACAATATTTAACTTGTGTGAAATTTCATTCAAATAACAAATAGATATATAAACCTTTATAAACAAAATATGAAATGTGCTACATATTTAATATTATTGTTCCATATAATACTATTCTCTTATGGTCTTGTTCTTCTTTCTATTAAGTCTTTAATTAGTATTAAAACGATTCTGATGTTTATCCACATTTATTGGACTATTTAAAACCAAAGATTCATATAATATTTTGTTAACTAAATTACTTTTTACTAGATGGCCTGGTAAGCTTCGTGTCGTCACAATATAAAGAACTATTTACAGCGGTATAAGTAATCCGAAGTAGCGATTCCCATACAAATTATACCTATTTGTATGGGCTTTTTTCTACTTTTCATTTTTCTTTTAAACAATCCCTGTATTGCAACGAACATTTCTGCAAAACTGACAGACAACAATTGGTCCACTGGTGAACACGGCCTCCTCTATAAGGGAGTTTTGCCAGTAGTTGCCACGTTCGGCAACCACAGTTTGGCTTTTGACGATGTTTTAAAAGAGACGCTGCTGTCCATCCCTTCACCATAAGCTCTCTCAGTCGCTTCTTGCGATACACACGGGAAAGGAAGAGTTGGCCTATTCTATGCCGGAACTTACACGGCGAAATCTTTAAACTTATTTACAATGTCAAAAACATAATTTTTACATTACCCGTTCAAATCAAACAGCTATTCCACTGTTGTACGTCTCGAATAAGATGGTGGTACATATTTTATTTGTTCACATGTTCTATAACGTCGTCCTATTGCTATTTCCTATTCTTCTATTTTCAAAGAATTTCTATGGCATTCCACATTTAAAAGACGAAATTTAAAAGTGGAACGAAAAATGACAAGTGTGCATGGTGTTAGTCGATCATGCACGGGCTTTTAATGACCTTGTAATTTTAGACATGGTACATTTAAATAAATACACATAATGTTAACAGAGACTGATCTGATCTTATCTAAGTCCTCAGGAATGGCAACGCATGGGGGGTATCATGGGCGAAACAGTATACTCTGTGATGTCTATGGTACTGCTCATGTGTATAGGCGGCGGTTACCACTTTCCATCAGGTGGAGTGTCAGCTTGTTTGCCATTCTAAGTTGTATAAAAAAAGACTTAAAAGATCAACTGTTGAGTTTCTCACGGGCTCTTCTCAACAGATAATAACTTTCCGAACGCTGCAGTAGACTTTAAAAAAATGACTATTTAAAAGTGCTTGTAAACAAGTCTACTTGAATAAAGCATGATTTGAATTCGAATGAAGTATATTTTGTTATTGTCAATAAACAATCTCGACTTACTGCTGATAAAACTTATTAGGTTTTTTATCATTTAAAAAGAAAATTTATCAAAACTTTGGTACATTTCGTACACACATTTACATTTATATAGAAGAACGTCTATTAAGGCGTTATGTATGTCCTCAGGAGTATTGGCGTTTGCACTTTATCCTTAACTTCACGAAGTTTGTCCAGTAGGTTTGGGTAAGCATCAGAATGTGTAGCGAGCACGGTCTCCCTACCGACCAAGGCGTACGCCTGTACTATTGTGGATCACTTTGTGGCAATAACGTGTTATATTTATTGTAGTTACTCCTTCTATTTCATCGTTGACAATCTAAAATATATTTTCTCTCTTAATATTTGTGGTTTTTTTTTCACACACAATAACATTCATTGCTACGTCACCAAGATAGAATATTTAGACTATATAGTAGATAGAGCGTCGAGTCTCAAAAACTGGTTAACTTTTTATCAGCTAATTATCAAATTAGTTGAGTCGTTTTTTTTTATCAGTGTTCTATATTTTTACGTATAAAATGTATCTTGATATATTATTTAATCAATAAAAATCGGTAAAAAAACTTTTAAGTTAAACGGTTTTATTTTATGTGCACTGAAAACTACAAAATAAATAAATAGTTACTTACCTATCAACCTACGTAGGTGATCTCGGTCATTAATATCTCTGATGGTAGTGGTTGTCATAACATGAACCATGTCAGCGGCCGAAAGGCAGTTCATGAGAGAACACTAACACCAGGGTTTGCTTGGTAGGTAAACTAAGCAGCCCGCACTATAACAAGTAGGTATTTTGACCTTCTAGTTCAGAAATATTTTAGTACTAGGCAGAATAGCTTTTAGGCATATTAGACTAAAATAAAAACGTGGGGCCCATTAACTATTTCTGTATTACTTTCTACTATACTAAGTGTGGATTGCATCGACTTATTATAATCGTCATCATCATCATCCTAGCGGTTTATCCCGGTCGCATCCGAAACCTCATAGCTCCGGAGTCCAGAGTCCGCTGAATCGACTTACTATAATCGTAACTGGAGGTTTTGACCATCAATAACCAGCCGTTACGGCTTCACCAGCGAACGCCGAGCTCATGATCTATCAAAGTATAAGATATGCTCTGCTATAGGTATGATTTCAGAGGGGCCCCACGTTTTTATTTTAGTCTAATATGCCTAAAAGCTATTCTGCCTAGTACTAAAATATTTCTGAACTAGAAGGTCAAAATACCTACTTGTTATAGTGCGGGCTGCTTAGTTTACCTACCAAGCAAACCCTGGTGTTAGTGTTCTCTCATGAACTGCCTTTCGGCCGCTGACATGGTTCATGTTATGACAACCACTACCATCAGAGATATTAATGACCGAGATCACCTACGTAGGTTGATAGGTAAGTAACTATTTATTTATTTTGTAGTTTTCAGTGCACATAAAATAAAACCGTTTAACTTAAAAGTTTTTTTACCGATTTTTATTTTTTTGTTTTTAGTATTTAGTGAAATTGTTTACCGAATATTCCTCATTTTATTTAATTCATTCAGTGCATCATTATTACATGGTTTCTTACCTGATAATTTAGTACAATCTAATTCCTCAATACATAGCCCTTCCAGAGACTTGACTCGACTTAGAGCCACGTATGCTTGTCCTTCCCCAAACCATTTTGAGCCCAAATATACTACTGCATGGTCGACGGTGCTGCCCTGCATTTTATGTACGGTGAATGCTCATGACAAAACTAAGGGCAACATCCTTTTTTCAGCCGTACCATAATTGCATTTTGCTGGAAACTGTATGGCTTTAGGGTAAATAACGTGCATGCCGTCTGTGCCAAAGTCAATTAAAACTGATGATATATCTGTTTCGTACATTTGGGTTCGACGGAACTGAGGCCAAAAAGGTGTCTGAGTGTCAAGTGTCTGAGAGTCTAGTGTCTGAGTGTCTTGTATCCGAGTGTCTAGTGTCTGAGTGTCTAGTGTCTAGTGTTTAGTATCTGAGTGTCGAGTGTCGAGTGTCGAGTGTCTAGTGTCTGAGTGTCGAGTGTCTGAGTGTCTAGTGTCTAGTGTTTAGTGTCTGAGTGTCGAGTGACGAGTGTCGACTGTCGAGTGTCGAGTGTCGAGTGTCTAGTGTCTAGTGTCTAGTGTCTGAGTGTCTAGTGTCTGAGTGTCTAGTGTCTGAGTGTCTAGTGTCTGAGTGTCTGAGTGTCTAGTGTCGAGTGTCTGAGTGTCGAGTGTCGAGTGTCGAGTGTCGAGTGTCGAGTATCGACTGTCAAGTGTCGAGTGTCGAGTTTCGAGTGTCTAGTGTCTGAGTGTCTAGTGTCTGGGTGTCTGAGTGTCAAGTGTCTGAGAGTCTAGTGTCTGAGTGTCTTGTATCCGAGTGTCGGAGTGTCTAGTGTCTAGTGTTTAGCATCTGAGTGTCGAGTGTCTAGTGTCTAGTGTTTAGTGTCTGAGTGTCGAGTGTCGAGTGTCGAGTATCGAGTGTCGTCGAGTGTCGAGTGTCTGAGTGTCTAGTGTCTGGTGTTTAGTGTCTGAGTGTCGAGTATCAGAGTGTCTAGTATCTGGGTGTCTGAGTGTCGAGTGTCTGAGTGTCGAGTGTCGAGTGTCGAGTGTCGAGTGTCAAGTGTCGAGTGTCGAGTGTCGAGTGTCTAGTGTCTGAGTGTCTAACGTCTGGGTGTCTGAGTGTCAAGTGTCTGAGAGTCTAGTGTCTGAGTGTCTTGTATCCGAGTGTCTAGTGTCTGAATGTCTAGTGTCTGGGTGTCTGAGTGTCTAGTGTCTAAGTGTCGAGTGTCGAGTGTCGAGTGTTTAGTGTTTAGTGTCGAGTGTCGAGTGTCTAGTGTCGAGTGTCTAGTGTCTAGTGTCTGAGTGTCGAGTATCGAGTGTCTAGTGTCAGAGTGTCTAGTGTCTGGGTGTCTGAGTGTCAAATGTCTGAGAGTCTAGTGTCTGAGTGTCTTGTATCCGAGTGTCTAGTGTTTGAGTGTCTAGTGTCTGGGTGTCTGAGTGTCTAGTGTCTAAGTGTCGAGTGTCGAGTGTCGAGTGTCGAGTGTCGAGTGTCGAGTGTCGAGTGTCGAGTGTCGAGTGTCGAGTGTCGAGTGTCAAGTGTCGAGTGTCGAGTGTCGAGTGTCTAGTGTCTGAGTGTCTAACGTCTGGGTGTCTGAGTGTCAAGTGTCTGAGAGTCTAGTGTCTGAGTGTCTTGTATCCGAGTGTCTAGTGTCTGAATGTCTAGTGTCTGGGTGTCTGAGTGTCTAGTGTCTAAGTGTCGAGTGTCGAGTGTCGAGTGTCTAGTGTTTAGTGTCGAGTGTCGAGTGTCGAGTTTCGAGTGTCTAGTGTCTGAGTGTCTAGTGTCTGGGTGTCTGAGTGTCAAGTGTCTGAGAGTCTAGTGTCTGAGTGTCTTGTATCCGAGTGTCGGAGTGTCGGAGTGTCTAGTGTCTAGTGTTTAGTATCTGAGTGTTGAGTGTCTAGTGTCTGAGTGTCGAGTGTCGAGTGTCGAGTGTCGTCGAGTGTCGAGTGTCTGAGTGTCGAGTGTCTGAGTGTCTAGTCTCTGGTGTTTAGTGTCTAGTGTTTAGTGTCTGAGTGTCGAGTGTCGAGTGTCGAGTGTCGTCGAGTGTCGAGTGTCTGAGTGTCTAGTGTCTGGTGTTTAGTGTCTGAGTGTCGAGTGTCGAGTATCAGAGTGTCTAGTATCTGGGTGTCTGAGTGTCAAGTGTCTGAGAGTCTAGTGTCTGAGTGTCTTGTATCCGAGTGTCTAGTGTCTGAGTGTCTAGTGTCTGGGTGTCTGAGTGTCTAGTGTCTAGTGTTAAGTATCTGAGTGTCGAGTGTCGAGTGTCGAGTGTCTAGTGTCTGAGTGTCGAGTGTCTAAGTGTCTAGTGTCTAGTGTCTAGTGTTTAGTGTCTGAGTGTCGAGTGTCGAGTGTCGAGTGTCGAGTGTCGAGTGTCGAGTGTCGAGTGTCGAGTGTCGAGTGTCGAGTGTCTAGTGTCGAGTGTCGAGTGTCGAGTGTCTAGTGTCTAGTGTCTGAGTGTCGAGTGTCTGAGTGTCTAGTGTCTGGTGTTTAGTGTCTGAGTGTCGAGTGTCGAGTGTCTAGTGTCTGAGTGTCTAGTGTCCGAGTGTCTAGTGTCTGAGTGTCTTGTATCCGAGTGTTTAGTGTCTGTGTGTCTAGGGTCTGGGTGTCTGAGTGTCTAGTGTCTGAGGGTCTAGCGTCTGAGTGTCTAGTGTCCGAGTGTCTGGGTGTCTCAGTGTAGTCCTATTATTTGATACCCATATTGTGGTGGTTGTGGAAAAATATGTACCTAGTCCGCCATATTGGAACGGCGTCCATCTTGAATTTAAAATTTTGACATAATCATCGTGTTTTACTAGTGTAGCCCTTTCATTTGATACCCATATTGCGGGGGTTAAGGAAAAAATATGTAATCCGTCATTTTGTATCGGCGGCCATCTTAGATTTATAATGTTATTGATTTTATTATATTGTATTGTCATCTAAATTAAATGTGTGTACCAAATTTCAGATCAATCTGACAACGGGAAGGTGCTTAAATTCCAATTTCTAATTTTGACCCAAATAAATAAATACCGTACGGGTCGAGCTAAATAAAACCGTTTAATAAAATGAGTGTTTACGCATTAAAAAGATGCAGAGTTTATAAAACAAAATAAATATTGAAGTTATAAAGGAATTACTCATAACTATTTATGACAAGTTGTATGAAAAAGTTGATCCGTTTTTCTCGGAGCATTTCCATAGGGACATACACATGGATCAATATAACTCTGGGTTATAAGGATTTAGCCAGAGAACATCTAGGGGTACGAGCAAGAACATTCAGACTCGAGCCAGTTCAGGCCAGTTTGCTCTCTAAATTGGCTCGACTGAGAATCGAATCCGGAACGGAGCCTCATAGAAACAAAGCAACGTGTCCACCACTGAATCACGCAGGTCGTCAATTTCTTCAAGAATTTCGTCAATTTCGTCAATTCCTTTAGGATTTAGGTATACAATGTTGAAGTTTATATAAATGATCTTGTCTCATCCATATTTGGTGTAAACGACTTTAAAGTAAGACAGTTTTAGTTGTTTCTCGCGGCTTCGCCTGTCTGAATCAGTGTATAAAGTAATCTATGTTCTAAATTAGGATATGGCCTACTTGTGTACCAAATTTCATTTAAATCTGTTCTATAGTTCTCGTGTAAAAGAGTAACAAACACTCATTCATACATTCCCTCACTCTTTTGCATTTATATCCCATTACTATGTGTACTGTTTGATTTAGTAATAAAAATACCCATAACCAGTAATAAGAAGACAGGTTTTCAATTGAAAAAAGGTATATATGAATACCAGAGGGAGACTGTACAAAAGTCGTTTGCTTGGCCACCTCTGTCCCATTCGTGTTTCAACCGTGAAGCAGTTGTGTTTGCATGGCTGTGTTTCGGTTTGATGGGTGGGATATGGCGTGAATTTACAGGGTACAGAGGAATAGCACCTGAGTCCTCAAGAATGGCAACGCATGGGAGGTATCATGGACGAAACAGTATACTCTGTTATGTCCATGGTACTGCTCACGTCTATAGGCGACGGTTACCACTTTCCATCAGGTGGGCCGTCAGCTTGTTTGCCATTCTAAGTTGTATAAAAAAAAGTATATACTGCCAGATATTCTCATTGGATGTTTAATAGATTTGATATTATCCTAGCCTTTTAAAAAGACCGGCAGTGCACTAGCAATGCCTCTGGTGTTACGGGTGCTCGTGGGCGGCGGCAGTCCTTTTTTAAATGGATGATAAAGGAATGGTAACTCCGCTTGCGCTAACGGTTTACACCAGTGAGGGGTAATAGGTAAGAATGAAAAGGCAAGCCCGTTAGCCAATCATGACGAATTCAACACGATAGTTTCCATGGAGAACCGCGAGGAGGTCGACCTGACAGGGTGTATTGTGAGCAATGTGGATACTAATCCCCATTATTACCAATCCCTTCTCCCCGGGCGGCGGTAGTCACTCACCATCAGGTGAGCCGCATGCTCGCTTGCCCCCTGTTTATTTTCATATTTTCAATACCACGCAGGGGGGGGGAGTAATTGTTAGTAATGCGGATTATCAGTCCCATTGCTAATAATATACCCTAACAGGTCGACCTCCCAGTGGTCCCCCTGGAAACCATCGTGCTGAATTCCAAGTGTATTCATCACGATGGGCTAAATGATTTTCCTTTTCATCCTCTCTGTCCCGCCAGCGTATACCGTTAGCGCAGGCGGAGTTACCATTCCATTATCATAGATTAAAAAAAAAATAGCCACGCATACGAAGACGCGAGTAAGCGCTAGTTATAATTAATAAAAAGCATCCAATAATAAAATCGTATGACTGTAACTACACGCTACTTGAATGATTTATTTATTTATAGCAAGGCAACAGATTGCAGATTAGAAATAAGAAAGAAAGAAATAATTTAATCAAAAGAAACATGCGGCCCACACAGTAGCGCACAAAACAAAAACAAAAGAAATCAAAAACAAAACAAACAAAAGAAAATAATAATTATATACAAATAGATAGCAATTAAATTATAATGTACGCGTGCGCGCGTGTGTGTCGCAATGTTCTGTGATGTAGGTCCGTGCTCAGCATATTGCTGCAGCGCTTGAAGCGCTACAGCGCTGTTTTTCAGCAAGAACCATTAATAAAATAAACAGATTAATACATTAATAAATTAAATGTTACATAAAACGGCATTAAATTCGCTCCAACAACTGCTCTGCATAACATTCGATATTACATACATTAAAAGAATGACGGCTATAGATTTAAAGTAACAAATTGGCAGCCTCAATGTAACATTGCAAGGATTGTTGCAAGATATCAAGCTCCTTGCATACATTGTTATATTTTCTGTAAATGCGGATAATTGGGATTGTGATACGATACATTATTATTACAAATCGAAGTCTTAAGTCTTAGGAGAGATTTTGCCTCACTATGCGTGTTCTACCGCTTATACAACGGATTGTGCTCAGAGGAATTGTTCAATATGATGCCCACAGCGACTTTCTACCGTCGTACGGCTCGCCTTCGACAGGGAGTTCACCCTCATACCCTACAGCATAAATGGTCGCGTTCAACGCGGTTTCAGAGATGATTTCTCCCACGAACACTCAGGTTATGGAATGAGCTCCCTGCCGAGGTTTTCCCAAGAGATTACAGCGTGATGTTCTTCAAAAGGGGAGTAAAAAGGTTTCTTTAGGGTCGGCAATGCGCGCGTAATACCTCTGGTATTGCAGGTGTTCGTAGGCTACGGTAACCGCTTACCATCAGGTGGGCCGTATGCTTGTTTGCCACCTCAGTGGTATAAAAAAACAAATTGGTATATAAAATAATTTTTGTATTCCTTTATTACCTGTACTAAATCGATTGTTAATCAACGCTTAATTAAAACGTAACAAGATCATTAACGGCAGTAAACTCTTTAATTAATAATGCTAATCAGTAAGTTTTTGAAAGTATAAAACTGGGCCACAGTCCGCAGCGGACTCAGATGCCGTAATTATGAAGTTCATACTGGGTGAGTACTATTTACTCTTTAACCGATTGTTTAACAAAAATGCGTATTGTTATTGTATATATCGAGGCGGCAAACAAGCATACGTCCCGCTTGATGGTACGCAGTTGCAATAACCTATTAACGCCAGGAGGGAAGGGATTGTTAGTAACGCGGACTACTCATTTCTAGCAATATATCCAGTCCCATTGCTAGCAATATACCCTGTCAGGTCGACCTCCACGTGGTCCACCTTGGAAACCATTTTGGTGAATTCGAAGTGTATTCATCACGATGGGCTAATTGAGCTGCCTTTTCATCCAAACTTGTCACACCTAACTTGTGCCCTGCCAGCGTGTACCAATAACGGAAGCTACTACTACTTCATTATCACCTCCTCGCGGTTCCCCCTGGTAACTGTCTATGTTCTATTCCAAGTGAATCCATCACGATAGGCTAACTGACCTGCCTTTTCACTGTCACCTATCATTTAAAAAAAATTACTTCGATATCATCCTCATACCTTACAGCCTAAATGGTCGCGTACAACGCGGTTTCAGAGATGTTTTCTCCCACGAACACTCAGGTTATGGAACGAGTTCCCTGCCGAGGTTTTCCCAAGAGACTACAGCATGCGGTTCTTCAAAAGGGGGTAAAGAGGTTTCTTCAGGGTCGGCAACGCGCGCGTAATGCCTCTGGTATTGCAGGCGTTCATAGGCTACGGTAACCGCTTACCATCAGGTGGGCCGTATGCTTGTTTGCTACCTCAGCCATTATAAAAAACCATTATAAAAACCTATGAACGCTTGCAATACCAGGGCTGTTACGCATGCGTTGCAGATCCTTAAGAAACTTTTTGAAGAAAAAGAACGCCATTTACGAGTTATCTCGTAGTTGGCAGTTAACGTGTTAAAAAAAACAGTTTCGTGTCTCCGGTCAAATTGTTTACAATTAATATATATTATACAAGAATAATCACATCTTTTGTTCCAGCACTCTCTTTCTTGTTCCTGCACCATGTTACATCGACCTCGTGCAGGACTATATCACAGTCGAAAGAATCTACACACAATGAAGTACCCGCTACACTCGAAGAAAAAAGCGTTATAGATTTAATATTATCGCTACTTCGTACATCTCAAGATGCAATCGATCGTTCCGAACATTTAAAAGAAATAAATGAGGAATTGAGAAAAGTCGAAAACAATGATCGTTTAGTGGAGATATTACCAATGAAATCAAATTTAAAAAGTAAAGGAGGTAAAGCACCTTTAGCTTTAATATTAACATCTAAAAAACATGATCGGAATCAAAATGATAAAAAACACGATTATGTTAAATATCACTACAAACAATCTCATGACAATAATAGCAATGAAGAAGAGCGTATGAGTGAAGACAATAATGCTATTGAAAAAATCACTGACAACCATGATGAAAATCATTATATAAATCAAGATGATAGTGAAATTAAAAATAATTATGAGTTAGAAAAAGATGTTGCATCTGATAGTGACATTGTAGACTACAAACCTGAAATTACTAAAGATTTTGATGATACCAATACAGTAAAAGATGAATTCGACAGTAAAGATATGAGTTATAATACACATGATAAACTAAACACTTATAATAATGATCTTAAATCATTAAATAAAGATGACCTGCAAGAACCACAACTTGAAGATGTTAATGATTTAGAAAGATCTGGTAATTCGTACGAGAATTACGATAAATCGCAGCAACTTCAAGAAAATGAAAACAAACTAAGCAAAAGCAATGGAAACGTTGGCTGGCAAATGGTCAGCAAGGAATCTTTTACGATGATACCCGCTAAAGAAAGTGTTGAATTAAATAATAAGAATTCTAACGAGGAAGTAAATAATGATGACGATTTAAAAGAAATGAGTTTAAAAGTTTTTAGTAAATCTGGTGATGCATCATATTCCGATACAAATGATGTGGATGATTCATCTAATGACTTTAAACTAAGCAGTAGAATTGAAGAAAGAGATGAAATAATTGAAAATCAATTTATAAAAAATAATAAAGATGTAGTTGGTGTCGTTGAAGCGACTGAAACGGGTCACAATGATTCAAAACAAGTCTGTGACAATGACAAAACTAAAGAAATTCATCATCAAACGCATAAATCTTATAATTTCTCATTCCTGTTCAGCAAATAAAACGGCATCAAATAATGATATAGTTTCTTTTATTTTTATTTATTTATTTAGGTTTACCAACAATTGTTTCCATAAAATAATGTAAATATATATACAATTATGGAGCTTAGAACTAAGTGTAACAATTTTTTATAGGCAAACACAGCATATATTGATACATGTATAACAATAAGTACAAAGAAATATATATATAGTTTACAACTATTATTAAATGCTTAACAACTAACAACTAAAGCCACCATATCCATAAGCAGATCCAGCAGCACGACTCATTTTATATATTTATAGACATTTCGTACAAAAACAATTGGAGTATCAAAATTAATATCGACCTGGTCACTGCAACTATTTATAATCTTACAGAACCTTACTATTGGAGAATTACTAGCCAGAACAGTTCTTCTCAATGGAGGTATTAGCGGAGTTATAGGTCTACGAGGTAATCTAGAAGGGACTCGCAATTTTATAAGACTTAGTAACTGAGGACAATGTAATTTATATGTTATAAGTTTATTACATAAATATTTTGATACAAAACAAAAAAAAAATATTAAAGTAATAATTCAGAGCTGGTTAAATTTTGTATTGTTACAAATGTAAATGTCGTTATTATAAATAATGTAATTGTAACAAAAAATAAATAAATAAATTATAATAAAGATATCTATTTTTGTTCGTATTTATTTTTAACTAGAGAGCTGCTCCGGCTTCGTACACGGGGTTTTTCTATGCAATTTAGAATGGCAAACAAGCTGACGGCCCACCTGATGAAAAGTGGTGGTCGCCTATAGATATGAGCAGTACCACGGTCAAAACAGAGTATACTGTTTCGCCCATGATACTCCCTATGCGTTGCCACTCCTGAGTACTCAGGTGTTATTCCTCTGTACCCTGTAAATTCACGCCATATCGCACCCTTCAAACCGAAACACAGCCACGCAAACATAATTGCTTTACGGTAGAAATACGAATGGAACAGAGGTGTCCAAGCAAACGACTTTTGTAGAATGTCTCCCTCTGGTATCCCTCGGGTGCAATATTTGTTTGTATAACTTTTAAACTATTCTCCATATTTTAATAAGGTTATTTTGACGTCTGTGAAAGTACTGGCCAAATATTTTCTAAGATTTTAGAAAGTAAAATAAATTTTGCAAGCCTGAATGGATTTTAACATAACAATCACCTTTTTGGTTGAGATATTAAACTTAGATATGATAGAGAGAGATATATGATAGATTAGAGATGGTATCACAGACTTTTTTGTAAAGCTAAAAGTAATGAATATTTTTGCTATAGATTTTATTCCTTTATTTCAAGGAATTTTTCAGGGACTTCAATTACATTTATTGTGATTAATTATTGAAAATATACATGTACAACAATTACTCTTTTACTCTAAGGTTGTCTTGTAAAGATTGCTCTCAGCAATAAGACCGCCTCACTGTACTCATACAACTGTATCGTTACATTTATTGTCTTGCGTATTCCCTATATTGTATAATGCAAATAAAGTGTGCTTGTTCATGCATTCAAAATATATACAATTACCAAAAGAAAAAGTGATCTGTAGCACTCAGAGATTACTAACAGTGAAAGAGTTTTCAAAAACTTAACTTTTGAACCGATTTTGATAAAATTTCTATGGAACTAAACTATAAGTAAGTCCTTTCACATAAAAAAATATTTTTTCTAATCGTAGAAAAAAATACAACCGAATGTTCTCACATTCAACTTTTTGAAGTCGATTCAAAGAATGTTACTCATCGAATTTTGGTTTTTCCAAGTTATTAATGCCAATATTATAATCGTAGAATTTAAAAAGATTAGATCGTATTTGTAAATATTTAGTAAATAGCATTTATTAATCTAGTGATAATGTTGCATTTGACAATCTTGAAACGAATGTAATGTCAAATAATTGTTATAATAGTCTGGTTGCATACAAATAAGTAGTTGGTTTATCTAAAGATAAAATAAAGGTCTTGCATGACAAATAAGGACAAACCTTATTTAAAATAACTGCAAACATCTTATAAACCTATTCTATTTGTTTATTTATTTAAACTTTAATGCACAGTAAAATTCTATGTACATTTGGCGGACTTAACACCGGACGGTGTTCTCTACCAGTCGACCATTGGGCGAACAGAGAAATACGTAGGCGGTGCATTATTGAATAGAGGAAAAATAAAGCAGTACTTGATAAATTCGTATAATATAAACATACACATAATATATTAAATAAATAAATATTTGCATACAATAAATACATAAAATATTACTATATAAAACAAATAAATAAAACAACTGCAATAGAAGAGCAAATAGTAATTTATGACTCGAACAGAGAAACCAGCAGGAGAAGCTTAAAGGGAAAGTGATTTTTCTTAAAAGCAGCTGCGCAATTTGTATTTAAAAGCCGGCTTGCTTAGGTTAGATCTTATGTCAAGCGGGAGTGTGTATTTAGGAAATTCTCGATTCGATTGTATTTTTTGTATTTTACAATCTCGATCAATCCAACCCTATGAAGGCACAAGTCTGCGTGTTTATTGCAAGAATGACGCTGTTTGTTGTATCTCTCCTCAGTTTCGAAGCATTCCCCTTGATAATAAGTCGAGTTTAGGAGCCTTAGTTCAATAGAGTGAGACGGTATTTCATGCTAGAACACCGCTTGCAATTGCATACTATATGTAGGTAAATTTCCTATAATGTTAAACATTTGCTCGCACCAAAGAAGGTATAAGGTGTACCCATCCAGAAGGTCCGCAGATGATGGGAGAAGAAGCAATCTTTTCACATCTCTATTCAGCATACTCGTACATGGAGCCATCGCGGATTCGTTACTGATGTATACGGGACATGTCAACCTATTTATTATTACTTGATTCAAGAATTATTTTTCTTTATGCAAAAATCAAATTGTTCAAAATTACTTTTTTGATTCAAGTTAATTTGTTTACCTGTGCATGGACGAGTTATAGTTATAGGTCACCGGGTTACACTGGGTTCGATGCACGCGTCCGTGTAGCCCAACTACAGACTGCAGCTGAAAATCAGTGCTTTGCTTTTAAGCAAAACTATCACTGAGCTGCAGCCTATTTGGATCACCGCGACACACATGGCGAAAACATATTTTTGTATTTTATCTTTTGTTTGTAATTTAAAAAAAGTGTAATTAATTTGATTGTATGAACTTGTGGCGTATATATATAATATATATAACAAACCTTTATATATAACTAAACCTTTTGCATTTCTGTAGAAAAATAAATAATGAATAAGAGAGTGCATGCAAGGTTGTGCGCGCAGAAGAAATTTGATATTGTCAATCTTTTAAATAAATATATAAACGTTTAAACATTTGATTGAATATTTTACTAACTCATTTACCATAAACTCATTTGTTAATTTACGTGTGTAATAAATAGCTCAAATAAAATGTTAATCTATCTATCATAGGTTTTTATTTTTTTGTTAATTTGTATTAACATACAAATGTTTTAATTATCATTATTCTAAATAAATCTACCTTTATAACTATGTTTTTTTAACTGAGATAGTTTTCGCGATTCCCCTTATAGAGGCTTCGCGACCCCCCAGGGGGTCGCATCCCACACGTTGAAAAACCTGATCTAGAACGATAACTACTTTTACCATTTATATAAAATGACAAATGAGCTGGCTGGTAGGCCGCTATGGACAAATGTAACCGTATCGACCTGAACAGTACAATGGATATCACATACATTGTAACGCCCAAGATGACTTCTTATGCGGCTGGGGGTGGAATTAATTGTTAATAATGCGGATTATAAGTCCCATTGCTAACAATATACCCTAACAGGTCGACCCCATCGTCCCCCCAGGAACCATCGTGTTGAATTCCAGTGTAATCATCACGATAGGCTAACTGACCTGCCTTTTCATCCTCACCTATTATCCTTCACTGGTGCCCCGTCAGTGTATACCGATAGCGCAGGCGGAGTTACCATTCCATTATCGTTCATTAAAAAAAAACCTCTCATGCGGTGACACTCATGAGGGCTAAGGTGCTGTAACTCTATATCCAAAAATTTTATTACCATATTTCATACTTCAAGCTTTAAACAACAAATTGGAAATAGAGCTGCTTGGTGTCAGAGATACGAATTCGAACAGACAAATTTGTTCGAATTAACTTTTGTTAAAATTCGAAACACTTCGTTGAATTTAATCCATCACTTTATCCTTGTATTTACCAACTGAATTCTTTATCTGATTTAATTAAAAATGACCGCACGAATTTGGATCAAAACAGTCAAAAATCTATTAAAAGAAACGTTATCGGTAAAGATAGTTGAGATAACAAGTCGAATGCAAGTATAAAATGTCATTGGAAATCGAGATGCTTATGCAGAAAGTACTTGGAGCCAAAATGAGACTGTTGATCCTGGCGGTGGGCGTGGTGTGCTCGGCGCTGGCTGAGGAGCAGATAGCTCTGAATTACCACGAGAACTACGGAATCCCTGTAGCAACCAGCATCAAGCGGTCGGAAGAGGCTGGAGATTTCGACGGAGCCAGGATTGTGGGAGGATGGGCGGCAGCGCTAGGTGATCATCCCCATTTGGTGAGTGGAAATTTACATAATTATTATTTGATTTTTTTTTATCCCACATAGAATGCCAAATGTCTCGTATGTATTGCGTTTAAAAGGAGTTCAAAATGAATAAGTCTATCGGGTCTGTGCCCTGCTCTTGTTATTTCCATACAGACGTACCTAACAATTTCGGGTTTTCTGGCATCAGTGGTATACACATGGTCGAAAAATGTAAGCCAATATTGAAAAAGCACTAAAGATGAGCTACTCATACGAGGGTATCGTTTTCTACATTGGCATATTAAAATTATTTTTCAGTGGAGACCTGATTCTTTAAAAAAGGCGTATAAACGCTTTTAGACATATTTTTGCGAAATTCCGCTTGCATCCTAGAGTGGGCACACAAGCCTATCCGGCTTCCATTACGCCTATCGTGCTCTGGTGTCGAGAATTGACTCCGATATATATGAACTTCACTTTTAGCCTCTGAATGGCGTATCTGTACATGACCTCCGAAGAACGGAGCAAGTGATATTAGCTTTTAAACGATCCAAACATAATTTTTTGAAAGTTCAGAAGTTAAGGCTGGGTTTCATCTCTTTTTTTTTATACTACTTAAAATGGCAAACAAGCTGACGGCCCACCTGATGGAAAGTGGTAACCGTCGCCTATAGACATGAGCAGTACCATGGACATAACAGAGTATACTGTTTCGCCCATGATACCCCCCATGCGTTGCCATTCCTGAGGACTCAGGTGTTATTCCTCTGTACCCAGTAAATTCACGCCATATCCCACCCTTCAAACCGAAACACAGCCATGTAAACACAACTGCTTCACGGTTGAAACACGAATGGGACAGAGGTACCCAAGCAATCGACTTTTGTACAAAGTCTCCCTCTGGTACGTCTCAGTTTCTACGTTGTTAACTTTTGTTCAATTGAATGTTTTTTCTAGCTTTTATTTAACCTGAAATGCAATATGTTAGTTGTAAGCTAAATTAGAACAAATTCTTGACATTTAATTGAGTTGAAATTTCATTTTTCACGCGGTTTTCTCTTAACTTTTCTAGTACACTAGAACCCTTGAAAGTGCCACAGATGTACTCGATTTTAATATTATCTATTCTTGACACTTCGACTAGACCAGTGAAGCATCCTCATTTCTGTGACGATGTGTGATGACTTTATGGGTTATTCAACATTGTAATATTTTTAAAATAACATGAATGACCCATATTTTGTCAACTTTGTTGGACATCATTTTAAAATGATCTCAATCACAAGATGGCGGATAAAAGCTTGTTTCTAACCAGTCTTGTTACTGTATTCTCATACAACAGGGCGGTCTGCTCATCACGTTAACCAGCGGTGCGACCTCAGTGTGCGGCTCCTCTCTCCTGACCAACACACGAGGCCTCACCGCGGCGCACTGCTGGTGGGACGGGCAAAACCAGGCGCGCCAGTTCACCGTCGTTCTCGGCTCCCTGATGCTGTTCTCTGGCGGCACCCGGGTGGTGACCTCGTCTGTGGTGCTCCACTCCAGCTACAACACCAATAACCTTAACAACGATGTGGCTATCATTAATCTGCCCTGGATAAACTATAACAGTACGTATAATTTCTTTATATACCTACCTTAGAATGCCAAACAAGCTGACGGCTCGCCTGATGGAAAGTGCCATCTGTAGCTTGAAGACCTGAACAGCCCTGTTGACGTTCCCGAGGACTAAGGTGTTATGCCTCTGTACTCTGTAATTTCACTGCCATATCCCACCTTTAAAACCGAAACGCAGCCAGTTAAGACAAATGTCGAGATTTTCTCTCAGTCCCAAAGATATAATGATACAAACCCCACATATAGGGGGAAAGGGTATGTTTGTAATGGGGTTTAAAAGCACCATTGCTTTTAATAACCTTCGCGCTATCCACTTTGGAACCCATCGTGGTTAATTCTTGTGAAATTCATCACTATGTGTCAACTTGCTTTCGTCTTCTACCTATACTCACTGGTGTCCCGTTGATGTATCCTGAGTGCAAAGGCGGGGTTACCATTATCATGTATTAAAACTCCACAGACAATGTCCAGCCGGTCAGTCTGCCAGTTAACCAGGTGAACAACAACTTCGCGGGGACCGCAGCCTGGGCAGCTGGCTACGGACGCAGGTGGGACTGTAAGTACACACAGATTTATTATTTGTCACATCAGCTGTGAACTGTCCACTGCTGAACATACTGTCAACTGCTGAGCCGGTAGATGCCCCGCTTGGCAGGCGAGTTGGCAACCGCAGTTGAACTTTTGGTAATGTTTTAAGAGGGACGCTACTGCCCATCTCTCGACCGTTACGTTTTTTTAGTCGCCTAAAGGAGTGATCCATTCTATGCCAGGACTACACGGCAAATTTATTATATTTTTTTATAAATACCACTAAACATATAATACGACGCCATCTAGTTTTACATGAAGCAAAACTTGTTCTAAACGATTGCTAGATATATATATATATATATATATATATATATATATATATATATATATATATATATATATATATATGAAATGTGGTGCTAGAGAAGGATGGAGATATTCTATGGTTCTAATATTGCGAGTGCGAAGAATTTTACTTTTTATTAATATTCCTATAATCTTGATCTTGAACAACTAGCTTATTGGCCGCTATTTCGCCCGCGTGGATTTTAGAAGTAGGAAAACAAATGAAATATACCACTTATATATGGCGTATCGAGACGAAATATCTCTAAAAGATGCATTCCCGAGGAGAGTTGGCGTCAAGCTGTCAGCCAGTCTTTTTTTAAGCCAAAATTTTGAGTAATATGGATAAAAACATATTACGCCCACCCTAAATCATTGAAATAAGGGCAAGATGATGACTTTTATAAATTGTCTACTTGCTACCATAATATAGCGGATTACATTTTAAAAGATTGTTTTTAAACGTAGACATTCTATTCATCAGCTCAGCAGATCGTGAACGGCCAATACCTGAGCCACGTGCAGCTGACTGTCATCACCAATGCGGTGTGCGCGAACACTTACGGCACCAGCACGGTGGTGGGCTCCACGCTGTGCACCAGCGGTACCGCACTGCAGGGCACCTGCCAGGGCGACTCCGGCGGCCCACTCTGGCTGTGGAATAACAACCAACGTGTCCTAGTAAGTCTTTTTTTTATACAACTTAAAATGGCAAACAAGCTGACGGTCCACCCGATGAAAAGTAGTAACCGTCGCCTATAGATATGAGCAGTACCATCGACATAACAGAGTATACTGTTTAGCCCATGATACCCCCATACGTTGCCATTCCTGAGGACTCAGGTGTTTTCCTCTGTACTCAGTAAATTCACGCCATATCTCACCCTTCAAACCGAAACACAGCCATGCAAACACAACTGCTTCACGGTTGAAACACGAATGGGACAGAGGTTCCCAAGCAATCGACTTTTGTACAAAGTCTTCCTCTGGTCTTCTTCTACTTCTACTCCATTGTCGTACATAAGGGATAAACGGATCTATAGGTACGCTTTCCACAATATGGAACACTTGTTTTCTTGAATATGAGACACTCGCACGAAACAGTACGAGATTTTACGTGCTAAGCTAAGATATTATTTGTCCATGTACCAGATTTCATTCAAATATGTTAGGTAGTAGGGTAGGCGATCAATTGAAATAAATTTTAGTTACAAATTCATCCACAATAACCCGCATTCAAGAAGGCTCGGCAAAATAGTGTCCGGGGAAAAACCATATTTCGCCCAAATGTCCGGGATTTTTGCCGTGTTTATCCGATGTCGGCAGTTTAGGTGATGGCAGCCCTACACAGAAGTCACACTCGTTGGAAACACAAGTCGTCTCCATACCCCTGCAAGAGGTCTACATAAGAACTTCTTTAAAAAGTCTCACTCTGTTAATTTCAGATCGGTGTGACGTCATTTGTGGCCGCCCGCGGCTGCCAGTCCGGTCTACCAGCAGGGTTCGCACGCGTCACCTCCTTCATATCTTGGATCCAGGCTCGACTCTGAACGCCGATACTTAACGGACCTGATAGCAACTGTTTATGCAGTGAACAGCTTTATTAATTGGAATGTCTGATCCCTATAACCTGGAGCCCTGAATTGTTACTAACTAGCCGCTCAGTTATTAGCAACATGTTGTCAGAGTGACCTCCACGCGGTTCATCCTTGGTATTAACTTAGGCATTTACTGGGTACAGAGGAATAACACTTGAGTACTCAGGAATGGCAACGCATGGGGGGTATCATGGGCGAAACAGTATACTCTGTTTTGTCCATGGTACTGCTCATACCTATAGGCGACGGTTATCACTTTCCATCAGGTGGGCCGTCAGCTTGTTTGCCATTCTAAGTTGTATAAAAAAAAGGCAATTCACAATGTGCCAACTGACCTGACGTCATCTCACTCATCATTGTTCACTGGTACCCCAGGCTAGCATATACCGATAGTGCAGGCCAGGTTACCATTCCATTATCATCCATTAATTAAAAAAGCCTGGGATATAATATGATATCCGTATAATATAGCTGTTTTCTATATAATCAGTTCCAAATCATCTCTGATGAAGATTACCTGCTGTTATTTTTGATAATTTTAATAAATATTTTCAATTAAACTGTATTTAATTGATGTATCCCGATATAGAAGAGTTCAGTTCTTGCACCAATGAAGCATCATTGTGGATTTGGGCAGAAGATGTATCAAATACTGCCATACCATCCTGTTATTGCTGTTGGCACTTGGTGGTATTCTTGTTTATAGATAGATAGATAGATACTCTTTATTGTTTCCTCCAAAAGATTACAATAGTAAACTTATTATAAATATAAATAATTACAAGAAATAATCACAGTGAGAAAACAATGGGCATCATTATAAGTGAAAAAATACTTGCACCATTTCCACAGACTTTTTCTTTGACTAGATTATACAATTGTTATTGTTGCCGTATGGTTCCTGCATAGAATGGGCAACCTATTCCTTTCCCATGGCTGTCGTAAGAGGCGAATAAGGGAAAGCAAGGGATGGGCGACAGCGTCTCTCTTAAAACATCACTAAAGCTTAATTCTGGTTGCCAATCCACTTGAAACTACCCACCTGTAGGTCAACGCTGCATCGACGAAACTGCGGTGTAATGGCTATTCGAATTTATAATAGAATAAAAAAAAAATAAGAGAATTGCCGTTAAAAGTAAATAAAGTAAAAAGAAAATAAATTTTACAATATTAATTAATTTTTGTAAGCTATAAATGTATATATTAATGCTGTGACATTGGCTTAGTTTGAAATTTAAATTGTAATTTTATTTGACGTTTCTATCATTTTTATTATATATAATGTAAATTTTTTTTATACAACTTAGAATGGCAAACAAGCTAACGGCCCACCTGATGGTAAGTGGTAACCGTCGCCTATACACATGAGCAGTACCATGGACATAACAGAGTGTACTGTTTCGCCCATGATACCTCCTATGCGATGTGATTCTTAAGGACTGAGGTGTTATTCCTCTATACCCAGTAAATTCACTGCCATATCTCACCCTTCCAACCGAAACACAGCCATGCAAACACAACTGCTTCACGGTTGAAACATGAATGGTATAGAGGTGCCCAAGCAAAAAACTTTTAGGTATACAAAGTCTGCCTCTGGTAAAGTGCAACAATGTTAGCTGAATAAACTATTATTGTTATTATTATTATAAATAATACTTAATCAAATTTAATTAAAATGGATAATTATTTTTATCTTTTATATATTTTAATTAATATGAATTTATCTATAAAGATAGTTCCGATAAGTATATTATTTATAAAAAAAAAGAAAACAAATTCTATTCACAAACTTGTCAACATCGAAATGAGACTGTTGATCTTTGCAGTAGGTGTGGTGTGCTCGGCGCTGGCTGAGGAGCAGATAGCTCTGAACTACCACGAGGACTACGGCATCCCTCTAGCGACAAGCATCAAGCGGGCAGAGGAGGCTGGCGACTTCGACGGAGCCAGGGTTGTGGGGGGGTGGCGGGCTGGACTCGGGGACCATCCCCATTTGGTGAGTGAAACACGATATATTATCTGGTAAATTAAAAGATATCAAATCCAAATCTTTTAAATTACTTTTAAATCGTCATTTGTTTTATGAAATGAAATATAGTGGAAACCATCGTGAACAATTCTTGTTGAATTCGTCACGATGGGCTAACTGACCTGCTTCATTCTCATCTGTCATCTATTCACTGGTGCCCCGCCGGTGTATACCGATAGTGCGGGTGGGGTTACCACTCCATTATAACCCATAAAAAAAGACACCCACGGGAAAGGAAGGGGTGGCCTATTCTATGCCGGGACCACACGATTAAACTACTGGTTCTTTCATTATTATTATTTAGTTTCATTTCGCTATTATTAGTAGGTATTTATTAAAAAAAATTGTTCTCCCATTTGTATTTCTATTGTGAAGCAGTTGAGTTTGCATGGCAATATTTCGGCTTGAAGGGTGGGATATGGCAGTGGAGTTACAGGGTACGGAGGTATCATAACATAGTCCTCGGAAATAGCAACGCTTGAGGAGTACCATCAGCGAGACATTGTACTCTGTGACAATCATAGTATTGCCCACGTATTGCAGGCGACGGTTACCACTTTCCATCGAGTGGGCCGTCAGCTTGTTTATCATGCTAAGTTGCTTAGGAAACCTGCCCATGCCGAGACCAACAATGGTATAATATTATATTTGGTGTCATGTTATTACCCTTACTGTACTGTAAACTATCCTGCAAATACATCCGCCTCAAGGAGTATAAAAAGTTTTCTATGTGCTAGGGGTTTTTTATGGACAATTATGGAATGGTAGCCCCGTCCGCGCCAACGGTATACACTTGCGGGGCACCAGTGAAGGATGACAGGTGAAAATAGAAAGACAGTCGAACATCGTGCTGAATCCCGGGTAACGAATACACCTGGGATTCACGATGACGGTTTCCAGGATCACGTGGAGGTCGACCTGACTACCAGACCCATTCTTAGCCTTTCCTATACTCTACTGGTACTGGTAGTCCGCATAACTGACAATCCTTCCCCCCCCCCCCCATGTGCTAGGTAAGGATATAACCTATCCATGTACCAAATTTTATTCAAATCTGTCTAGTAATTTTTGCATAAAAGAGTAACGGCAGTTTGGCCAGCAGCACACCTGCGATGCCTCTGGTGTTGCAGGTGATCATGGCTGGCGGTAGTCACTTACCATCACGTTAGTCGCATGCTCCTTTGCCCCCTATGTTGTAAAAAAGTCCTGATAATCCAATATGAGTTTGTTATTTATTAACGTATTTACGTTTACACCAATCAATTTCATTTTTTTTTATACAACCTAGAATGGCAAACAAGCTGACGGCCCACCTGATCGAAAGTGGTAACCGTCGCCTATAGACATGAGCAGTAACATGGACATAACAGAGTATAATGTTTCGCCCATGATACCCCCCAATTACGTGTATACCACGCATTATATGGGATGGAGGAAAGGAAGAAATTAATTTAATCTAAATCCTCAATGGTTTTTCAGGGCGGTGTGCTCGTCAATCTGTATGGTGGGGCAGTCTCAGTATGTGCCTGCTCTCTCTTAACCAACACACGAGCGGTCACCGCCGCCCACTGCTGGTGGGACGGCTACAACCTGGCCATCGACTTCACCCTCGTTTACGGCTCCCTGCTGCTGTTCTCGGGCGGCATGCGCGTGAACACGTCCGCTGTCGACGTTCACGCCGCATACAACTCCAATAACTTGAACAATGATATCGCCGTCGTCATCTTACCGTGGGTGAATTATACTGGTTCGTGTCAGAATTATGATTTATCCATAGTCCACTGTATAGTTCCCCCCTCATATTACGCCACAGCGGTATAAAAAAACAGTGCCGGAACCACACGGCGTTTTAATTTGTGTAAATGATGCTTTTTTATATTACTTACATGGCAAACAAGCATACGGCCTGTCTGATGGAAAACGGTGTTATCGTAGACTATGGACACCTGTAGCACCGAGGATGCCACGCGCACTTTGCTGACCCTTGACAGAAATCTTAATACGTCCTTTTTAAAGAATCCCATGCTGTAGTTCCTAGGGAATATCTCGAAAAGAAGATCATTTCATAACCTAAGTGTTCCTTATACCATAGGGTATCCTAAGTTGAGGAGCGAGAGATTGGTGATGTTGTGTAGCGCTTATTATAATTATTATATTATACTTTAAGAATCGAATCCCGGCCATGCGAGCACAACTGTTTGGCTGAATCATAAATGAGACAGAGGTACTAATGCAGGCGACTTTGTCTCTCTCTAGTAAGTCAGCTTATGATTGAGTATTTCACGATATTGTGTCTACAGAGTACATTCAACCAATCAGGCTGCCTACGGCCTGGCTGGCGCTGGCTACGGCCGCACGTGGGACGGTACGTGTGCAACGTTTTGTATGTAAACTTCATTCTGGTTTCTGATGATCGACTTTATTCCAGTCGTAATTTGACTGTAACCTTACCTGACCACTCATCGATTCACAAAATCTTTTACGGTTCAAGCTGTCCGCCTCTGGAACTCACTACTAACAGATGTCAGAATGAAATAGAGAAACTTATCTCTTCTTTTAGTACTATTTTCCTATATTTTTTCTTCATCTTTTTTTCGTCATTCTCTCCTGTTGTATGTGTCCTATTATGTGTATATTTATGTATCAGTATCTATATAATAATGCGCTACCTACCCTTTGTTTTTTCTCAATGTCCTCTACCCAAAGGTAGTCTGTTTTTTTTTATGGGTGAAAATGGTATGGTAACCCCGCCTGCGCTAACGGGATACGCTGGCGGAGCACCAGTGAAGGGTGATAGATGAGAATGAAAACAGGCCAGTTAGCCCATCATGATGAATTCATCAGGAATTAACCATGATAGTTTCCAGGGAGAATCGAAGGAGGTCGACCTGGTTAACTATATTGCTAGCAAATGGGATTCTCAGTCTCCATTACTAACAATCCCTTTCCCCCCAGGTAGTCTGTTTAGGCTATAGACCCAAGGCTAATTTTAAGTTCTTATTCCATTGACTGTGTACCGTGTAACTCCACTGCCATATCCAACCTTCAAACCGGAACAGAGTCACGCGAACCCAGCTGCTTCACTGTAGTAATCATGTTAAATAAAAAAATAACATTATTTGAATTCTTCAGCTGAACCTATCACCGTGTCGCAGTACCTGAGCCACGTCAACGTGACCGTCATCAGTAACCAGGAATGCGAGGTGACGTACGGCAACAGCGTGGTGGTACCGGCCACCGTTTGCAGCAGTGGCGCCGGCTTCCGAGGCACCTGCCTGGGAGACTCCGGCGGCTCCCTCTGGGCGTGGATCGGAGGTTCACGCTTTCTGGTGACTCTTCTTTTGGACAAGTGTTTTTTCGTTCGTAACTTTATGGCATTGTTGCAATTGGTTGTTCCGGCAGCACGCGGAAACTCTACTGCACCAAATAAGATGCGGTTGCGTTTCTGTAGGTTTAAAAACTAGTATACGTTCTATCTTAATACACTGTCTTAAAGTAGTACATTTAATTGATTTTCCTGCTTTTGAAATCCTTCGTGTTGAAGCTTTCTCTAGAGACTATAGCATGGGGTTCTTCAAAAAGTGCGTATTAAGATTTCTTCAGGGTCGACAACGTGCGCTTGACATCCCTGGTGAGACTACGGTAACTACGTTTACCATAAAGTTGGTCGTAGGTTTGTTTGTCACAAAAGTAGTATAAAAAAATACGCACGTACAAAGTTGCGTTACTAATCCATTCAATTCATTCATTTCTTATGTTTCAGATCGGCGTGACGTCATTTCACGCGGCGCGCGGCTGCGAGCTAGGCCTGCCCTCCGGGTACACTCGCATCACCATCTTCGTACCCTGGATACAGGAGAGGCTCTGATAATACCACACAATGGAATTATACACCTGCAGTTGTTATTTCTTTTCATTTTATTAATTTTTTGTTAATTAAATATTTTTATTTTATTAATTTAATTTTAATTAAGAGGCTATGTTCAACAGTTCATCTATCTGAATTGTCTTAGATCTAGGTGTTCTGAGTTGTTATCCTGGATGTTCATTGCCCAGCTCCTCATGGGATGCCCTAGACAAATAGATAGATAATGTTATTGTTCCCTCCATAAGATTACAATAGTAAACTTTTTTTTATACAACTTAGAATGGCAAACAAGCTGACGGCCCACCTGATGGAAAGTGGTAAACGTCGCCTATAGACATGAACAGTACCGTATACTGTTTCGCCCATAATACCCCCCTTGCGTTGCCATTCCTGAGGACTCAGGTGTTATTCCTGTGTACCCTGCAAATTCACACCATATCCCACCCTTCAAACCGAAACACAGCCATGCAAACACAACTGTTTTACGGTTGAAACACGAATGTGACAGAGGTACCGAAGCAAACGACTTTTGTACAAAGTCTCCCTCTGGTATATATATATATATATATATATATATATATATATATATATATATATATATATATATATATATATATATATATATATATATATATATATATATATATTTAGTAGTGTGTGTAGTATGTGTTACCTACAAGAATATTCAATTGTATGTGAGATCGTCGATAAATGACTTATATATATTTACGTTTGTATGTTATCATACAACTGATATAGTGATTAATTATTAATATATCATACACAGACGTGTCCTTGTTGTATTTTTATTGTATGTTGTTTATTTTATCTGTTAGGGATTTGTGTACAAACATTAATATTTCGGATATATCGGGTTTTCCCAAATAACTGTATAATAACTTAATACTTTAAACCTCGCGGCGTGACGCGGTCGAGTGACAACGTTTACAGGAAAACCCAAGTACGCAAAAAATGATATCGATTAAAATTAAACCCTTCCTTTCCCTCTTGGGGGGTTTTTGCCAGTAGTTGACACGCTTGGCAGGCGGGTTGTCAACCGCAGTTAGGATTTAGAGATGTTTTAAGAGGGACGCTGCTGCCCATCCCTCGCTCTCCCTTAGTCGCCTTTTACGACACTTACAGGAAAGGAAGGGGCGGCCCATTCTATGCCGGGACCATAATTATAATGACTTGGTGACATGTTCCACTATATAATACTATATTCTTAAGTGCATTGTTTTTTTTTTACTTAAGATTTATGTTTTTTTTTTTACTTTATATTTACTTAGTAATCAATATATAGTAGGTAGTAGATGTTTTTTATAAAATGACTCTTTTACAATTATAGCGCCAATATTGATAACATTCAGTGCCAATAAATGGTTTGATTTGATTTGATTACTGCTGTATTTATAAATATCATGAAGATTATATGTACTTTTTTGCTCCACTAAGACAAAACGGCAGTTTCAACTGACACAAAACGGGGGGAAAGGGATTGTTAGTAATAGAGACTGAGAATCCCATTGCTAGCAATATACCCAACCAGGTCGACCTCCTCGTAATTCCCCCTGGAAACTATCATGGTTAATTCCTGATGAATTCATTATGATGGGCTAACTAGCCTGTTTTCATTCTCATCTATCACCCTTCACTGGTGCTCCGCCAGCGTATCCCGTTAGCGCAGGCGGGGTTACCATACCATTTTCACACACAAAAAAAACCTAGCCCATCACGCTGTCACCGGATAGTACCAATCCGGTGACAGTAATAAGATCTAGGGGCGGTAGGGGCCGCCCTAGACGGACGTATGTTCACCAAATAGGCGACGTGCTGAAGAAGGGCCAAATTAAAAGTACCCGTAACCGGCGAGCGTGTATGAAAAGATTGATGAATGTGGAGGAAGCGAAAGAGGTCTGTTTGAATCGAAGCATTTGGCGTTCTATTGTTTCTGCCGACTCTAACGGGAGACAGGCGTGACAGATATGTATGTATGTATGTAATAAGATCTAATAGCCCTATTGTTAGCAATATACCCTCACAGGTCAACCTCCACGCGGTTTCCTATAAAAACCATGGTTAATTCTTGTCGAATTCATCACGGTGGGCCAACTGACCTGCATTCATTCTCACCTACCATCTCTCATTGGTGCCCCGCTAGTGTATACCGATAGCGCGAGCGGGGTTACAATTCCATTATCATTTATTAAAAAAATAGTTAATCATTTACGTCATTTATACAAGTTTTGGATACGACGCGGCGTCGGCTATCCCGATAGTGGCTCGCTATGTAACTCGTGCCATCTCGGGTAAGTCGAAACATTACTATGCGCTTATCTATTTACGTTTTAAACAGCGCTGCGTCTGAAGTCACTCGATAGTGGACATAATCATCGTTCGTATGAGTCAAGCGCGCAGTGTTCGTGATACAACTTGCTTATACTCCTATATTGTTAATAATATATTGTTTATAAAAAACAATTACACACTGTGGCCAACGAAAACATGACTTGAATTGTAGTAGAATCAAATATTTTGATTGATTTATTTATTTAACTCTTTATTGCACCATAAATAAAAATATACAATGACAAGTGAATAATTCAAGTAAAATACGGTAACGTAAATACAGATTGAAATATACACATAAAGGTACAAGAGGCGGTGTTATCGCTAGGGCGATCTCTTACAGACAACCTTTGGTTAAAGGAGAACAGATTATTTAAAAACTAAACTAATGATGGAGCGATTTTGATGAAGCGATTCCTATTGGACCTGATTTTCTTTTAAAAATTTCATCAAAATCAGTTTAGTTAATTGGTTTTTAAATCAAAATAACTGATTTTGCTACAAATTAATTATTTATTTTGTAAAAAAAAAACTATTTTAATTTATTTATTTAAACTTCAAATGGTCTTCTCTACCAACCAACCATGAGGCAAGCAGAAAAATATGCAGGCGGTGTATTTATTACTAAAATAAAAATCGGTAAAAAAACTTTTAAGTTAAACGGTTTTATTTTATGTGCACTGAAAACTACAAAATAAATAAATAGTTACTTACCTATCAACCTACGTAGGTGATCTCGGTCATTAATATCTCTGATGGTAGTGGTTGTCATAACATGAACCATGTCAGCGGCCGAAAGGCAGTTCATGAGAGAACACTAACACCAGGGTTTGCTTGGTAGGTAAACTAAGCAGCCCGCACTATAACAAGTAGGTATTTTGACCTTCTAGTTCAGAAATATTTTAGTACTAGGCAGAATAGCTTTTAGGCATATTAGACTAAAATAAAAACGTGGGGCCCCTCTGAAATCATACCTATAGCAGAGCATATCTTATACTTTGATAGATCATGAGCTCGGCGTTCGCTGGTGAAGCCGTAACGGCTGGTTATTGATGGTCAAAACCTCCAGTTACGATTATAGTAAGTCGATTCAGCGGACTCTGGACTCCGGAGCTATGAGGTTTCGGATGCGACCGGGATAAACCGCTAGGATGATGATGATGACGATTATAATAAGTCGATGCAATCCACACTTAGTATAGTAGAAAGTAATACAGAAATAGTTAATGGGCCCCACGTTTTTATTTTAGTCTAATATGCCTAAAAGCTATTCTGCCTAGTACTAAAATATTTCTGAACTAGAAGGTCAAAATACCTACTTGTTATAGTGCGGGCTGCTTAGTTTACCTACCAAGCAAACCCTGGTGTTAGTGTTCTCTCATGAACTGCCTTTCGGCCGCTGACATGGTTCATGTTATGACAACCACTACCATCAGAGATATTAATGACCGAGATCACCTACGTAGGTTGATAGGTAAGTAACTATTTATTTATTTTGTAGTTTTCAGTGCACATAAAATAAAACCGTTTAACTTAAAAGTTTTTTTACCGATTTTTATTTTCTTGTTTTTAGTATTTAGTGAAATTGTTTACCGAATATTCCTCATTTTATTTAATTCATTCAGTGCATCATTATTACATGGTTTCTTACCTGATAATTTAGTACAATCTAATTCCTCAATACATAGCCCTTCCAGAGACTTGACTCGACTTAGAGCCACGTATGCTTGTCCTTCCTCAAACCATTTTGAGCCCAAATATACTACTGCATGGTCGACGGAGCTGCCCTGCATTTTATGGACGGTGAATGCTCATGACAAAACTAAGGGCAACATCCTTTTTTCAGCCGTACCATAATTGAATTTTGCTGGAAACTGTATGGCTTTAGGGTAAATAACGTGCATGCCGTCTGTGCCAAAGTCAATTAAAACTGATGATATATCTGTTTCGTACATTTGGGTTCGACGGAACTGAGGCCAAAAAGGTGTCTGAGTGTCAAGCGTCTGAGAGTCTAGTGTCTGAGTGTCTTGTATCCGAGTGTCCAGTGTCTGAGTGTCTAGTGTCTAGTGTTTAGTATCTGAGTGTCGAGTGTCGAGTGTCGAGTGTCGAGTGTCTAGTGTCTGAGTGTCGAGTGTCTGAGTGTCTGGTGTCTAGTGTCTAGTGTTTAGTGTCTGAGTGTCGAGTGACGAGTGTCGACTGTCGAGTGTCGAGTGTCTAGTGTCTAGTGTCTAGTGCCTGAGTGTCTAGTGTCTGAGTGTCTAGTGTCTGAGTGTCTAGTGTCTGAGTGTCTGAGTGTCTAGTGTCGAGTGTCTGAGTGTCTGAGTGTCTAGTGTCTAGTGTCGAGTGTCTGAGTGTCGAGTGTCGAGTGTCGAGTGTCGAGTGTCGAGTGTCGAGTGTCGAGTGTCGAGTGTCGAGTGTCGAGTGTCGAGTATCGAGTGTCGAGTGTCTAGTGTCAGAGTGTCTAGTGTCTGGGTGTCTGAGTGTCTAGTGTCTGAGTGTCTAGTGTCTGAGTGTCTGAGTGTCTAGTGTCGAGTGTCTGAGTGTCTGAGTGTCTAGTGTCGAGTGTCTGAGTGTCGAGTGTCGAGTGTCGAGTGTCGAGTGTCGAGTGTCGAGTGTCAAGTGTCGAGTGTCGAGTGTCGAGAATCGAGTGTCGAGTGTCTAGTGTCAGAGTGTCTAGTGTCTGGGTGTCTGAGTGTCAAGTGTCTGAGAGTCTAGTATCTGAGT